GTCTTGATATATTGGTTTATCATCATTATGTATGATAAGACAGGCACTTTAATTACCCGTGCCTTGGTCTGGCTTTATGAACAGCAGCAGGTTGATCGGATTGTTTGATGCATTTGCCAACAATTGTTTTATTGTTCGGTGGCTGCTCCAGTTCACTGAACTAGACCACAACTCTGTCTATTCTAATTATACCGACTTGTGTTCATACACCTTTACAAATGATACTGAAACAATTTTTTTTTAATTATTATTTTGATGTCAAACTAGTGACTGTTTATGAAAACTAATCAACAGTATTGCACTTAGCTTTTAACAGAGGTATCAAAGTTATACTGAATAATGTGGCAACACACATATGGTCCTCCACAGGCAGATGGAGACTCATGCAGCTGAGCCAGGCACAAGTGCAAATGAGCATGTTGATGTCATGTTCAAACTCAAATCCACATGCTGAGTAAACATTCAATCCTACATCGCATTGCAGCTGCATTCAACCATCCCTGGGCCTTGGCTGGATATGAAATGTGTCATGTGGCTGGTTTAATGGCGAGTGCAGAGACACAAAGACTATGTCTAACCACAGGGATGAACAGGCAGACAGGCAGAGAAGACGCCAGCTTCAGCCAAGTTATCATTTCGTCACCCAGCTGTGATTGACCGTGTGGGGGTGTCACCCCAAGATACACAACCAGGGTTTTAACTTACTCCAGCAATCTGTCCCCCAGCCAACATTAGCTGGGTTTGAGGCAATACGCTCTGCTGGACGGAGGTCAGAAGAGCACCCGAGTCTTCCAACTTTGACTAGTGGGGGTGAAGCAGAGGGGGAGAGGCTTAGACGAGATCTTCTGAGTTTTAACTTCATGTCATTGTAGCCAACATGAAATTAATTAAAAGCAATTTCAATGAATATTCAATTCAGACATTAAGCACCGCTAAATTAAACGAAAAAAAAAACAAACATACTAGTGAAAACAATGAAACGTTCTATTTCCATGCTACCTGAGTGGCTTTCTTTAAATGAGTCTTTGGTCTTTGAACGCAGAGAGGAATTTGAATTAGAAAGGCAGCGATAAAGTGGGTATTTAAAATGTGCTGCAGTCTTCAGAGACAAGAAAAGTGAAGTGAAGGGAGGGGAGAGTTGAGATCCTAATTAAAATAACTGTTATGCAGTGCATGTAAATTCTGCATAGATTTGCATATTCTCGGCCATCTGTTTCCGAGCAACCACAGAGCAGCTAATTAGCATACAGGGTTGATTAATCTTCCTTGTTGCCAGGCGACACTGGGAGAGCCTGGCTCATTTAAATGAACTCTTTCTGCTTGTGCGTGTTTGAGTGAAGATGAGCATACCTCTGTTCAAACTTCACACCTCATTTTCGAGGCTACAACAAATGTGTGACATTACACCAAAACCAAACGTGCTCCCACCACAAAAACAGGAAAACAAAAAGTTACTTAAAAAGGTCAAGTATGCATTGTACACAGTGTGGTACCTGTTGGAGGAGGGCTTGTGCATGTGCATTAGTGATTGCACTTGTGGTGGGCACCGTCTGCCTCTGAAAATCCAACCCATTGGTTTGGATACCTGAGAAAAGAAAATTTGAATTTATGTCATGTGCTGTTTGACACAACGCATGCCGTAAAAAAAACAAAAAAAACAACACAACAACAAAAAAAAGAAAAAAGAAAAAAGAAGAAATCACTGACAAGAGAAAAAGAATCCATTTTCAAATACGAGGAAAAACTCTAAAAACATATTTTTATAAAGTGGCAGCATCTGTACTAGCTAACAAAATTATATATTTTAAGAGCATGAACAAACAATACTGTCAACAACATCAATTAATGTGTCATTACCCAGCAGGAGTACAAAGCTGTGCAATGAATCTGGATCTTCACTCTAAGCGTGTAATATTCAGACATAATGCACTGTGAGGTAAATGCCTCATATGACAAAGAGAGCTGCTTGCAAGCATTTTTGGAAAGCTGCCATCTATGTTTTCAAAATTAGATCATACAAAGAGAAACAGCAGGGGGGTTTCTGTGACTTGAGCTGCTAAAATGTCCAAATTATTGCTGGCTATGACTCTGAAACCTGTTGAATGAGGTGGTAAAACTAAACACATTCTGATTTAAAAATGAAGATAACGGGAGAAAAAGCTGGAGATCACTCACCGGTGTTCCCGTCACCACTCTCCATTGCACATTTAGTAGTTTCTGACTGATTATTCACTTTAGCATCTGAAAGAGCCAGACAGAGACATGCTCACAGGCACTGCCGCCAAACAGAAGAACCTATTCTCTGATTTCAGGCGTACTTTCACTTTTGTCATCTGAGTACAACCATCACTGCACGTCAGGATATTCTTAATGAACAATAGCATTTCAGTCGCATTCATCATTTAAAGCAGCAAGCACTGAACAATACTAATCTCCAACAAACTAACAGAAAAAAACAACAAAAAAACAAAATCCCAGCAGCAGATTCATGAGGTCTTAATGCAACATAATCACACAATGACATCAACCACCAGTGCAGTCCAGGTGAGCTCTGTTACAACCTCATCAAAAAACTCACCCGCTCTTGCTCCACCTGCATTTTCCAGCATGGCTGCTGAACCTATCAAGTAAAATTGCCTGGGCCGGGCAAGCCCACCGACAGGGTGTCCGGCGCTCTCCCACCTCCTCCTCCTCTCTTCACTCTCCACTGGTCAGCAGTGAGCAGAGTTCAATACAACCAGAGTTACACACAGAGACAGTGGCAGTGTCCACCGCACGGTTCACTGAGCAACACTGGGATACGCGCACTGAGGGAGCCAACGGGGTTTAGGCAAACAGCTCTCCGTGCCTTTCCCTGCTCGCGCTTTTCTTTTCGTATAGCTCTGCCCCTTTTTCTCTTTTACTGTGCCTACTGTGCACTCTCTCTCTACCGCTCCCCCTCTCCCGTGTGCCAAGATTGTCTGTACTTCTGAAAAAGTTCGCCCTCTCCCTCTCTTGCTGGAATGAAACAAACGACAAGTGCAGCTGGCGGCCTCCTCCAACTCTGCCGCCGCCCCCCCCACCCTTCCTCCTCCAACTCTATAATGAAGCATAATCAGTATTCAGCTGATTAAAGCCGTATGCAAATCTGCCCCTGCCTCGTTAGCAATGCAAGGCTTTGAAGTCCTGCGAGCAACGCATTTCACACCGGGCTCTGAAAGCTTTCTGCATAATTTAAACCCCTATAAATATTTATCAGCTCATTAGCATATTAATTGGATGGCTTTTGGAGGACGATAAAAAACAGGGGAATAAGGACGATAGAGAGGAGAAGGAGAAAAAAAGTGCTCAAACTAGCACTTGGCGCAGCGGAGAGAGGGGAGGCAGCAGCACAACACCAATTACTGTGCAAGTGCGGGCCTAAAAAGTAATTAGCTAAGAGCAGGTAAAGGGCTGCAGATATCCCAGAATGCACCATGAGGTGGTCTGGGTATGTTAGCAAGGTGGACTGCATTAATAGAACGTCTATGACTGCTCGCTCAGAACATCTCCAGGAGTCATGGAGACTTGGCCCAATTGCTAAAGGGCGGGGGGCAGGGGGGGGGAGGGGGGGAGCTCGCTCAATCGGAAATAAATAACTTCACATTAATCCACCACAAGCCTGTCATTACTGCTAGACCCCCTGTGGCTAAGGCATTCCACAGCGAGCGGCTACAGAAAGTGGGTGGCGGGCTGTTGCTGTGTACGTTTATGTTGTGCTTGGGGATTAGCATATTTAAATTAGCTTTACATTCCAATAGTATTTCCTTTGAAGCCCTTTTAAATTCATTTCCAACAGGCGCCGAGTGCTAATACAGCAGGGAAGCGGCTCGGTTACGGTGCTGCACTGGTGTCCAGCGAGTCATAGCGACTGCACTGGAATGCATGGCTGTATTGTGGTCAAGAAGGGAAGGGGCTTACCAACTAAATCTACAACAACTGCTCCTGGCTAAAGCTCTAATCAACTTCTTCACTTATCCTCCTGCCTGACGAAAGGCATTTACATACTAGCTGACCAAGGGAAACAATGCCAAGAAGGCCCCAGTGGCTTTAACAAAGTACATACTGGAAAACAAACACACCTTTGTCAGCACAAGCAAGCCTTCACTCACCAAGGTATAATGGCAGCCATCTCTAAACTGCAGACAGTCAGAGACCCTTGAGATTTTTTTTTGTCTGACATACCCCAAATAGCTCCAAACACAACCATTGTGAAGTATAATGTATATTTTAACTGAGTGGCAAATGGATGTTGTTCATTAGAGTCACCACTAAGATTTAGTTTCATTATCATTTAATCTGCCAATTATTTTTATTCCCAAAGCTCAAGATGATATCTTCAAAACGTCTGATTTTGACCAATGATTGAACACCCAAAAGTAAGAGGTTTACTGTAACTGAAATCCAAACAAATGAGAATCTTCAACCGATGAATATTCAGCAGCTTTTGTTACAAATTCCCACCACAACCAAAAATGTTACCATTTTATATACTTTCACACACGCACTGGAGCCCTGAACTCTTCTAGATGTTAGTTTGCAAATGTCAGGCACAGATTAGACATCGAGGTGAGAAAAGTCCAGGTAACAGTCACAGCTTGCGAGCAGTCATACTGCGTCTTGCCTAAACCACACGGACAACCCGAACACAAAAAGAGATAACCCAGCTCTCTTTTTGTGCATCTCAGGACTTTTAAAGAAATTCAGAGAACACTGCTTACTGCTGCTAATCTGCTTGTGCCATCTTGTAGTTGGTAGCAAATAGATTATCTAAATAAGCCTTTTAAGAAAAGAAATAAATGCTCAGCAAACTTACCAGACACTACTCCTCTTTCTGACTGTCCTCAGCTCTCTGTCCAGCTCTACCCTCTGTGTTGCCTCTGACTGATGACACTATTATGAAACATTTCTATAAGCACTTCATTCCTTTCTAATTAAGACTTGATTTGATATTTCTGAGGGTCTTTCTACATTCTTGGCCTTTTTGTGATTTAAAAAATGATCAGATCTCTGTTTTGTGTGTCATTGCCCGTCTGCCAAATAAACACACGCATAGGCATCTTAACTATATTTTATAGAGCATGTTACCGTTTTATGAAATCTGGTGTTTTTTTATTTAACTTTATCTTAATATACACAATGACAGATGTCATTAGGTACTGGACTTGTAACAGACCAAACTGCTTGAAACTGTCAAGATTTTTTTAAGTTGTGATAACTTTATGAATAGACTTCCCAACATATAAGCATTAGGAGACATAGCTGTTATGTTCCATTATGGGCAGAATTTCTAGTGGTACAATTAAGAAGACAAGTAAGAGTTGTGTAGTATATCCTTTGGTGTAATTGTAATTCTATAATTTGTGTGAATGCTTTCAAGGCACATTTTTATAATAATTACAAACACAAACATATTTGTTTGGTTAACAACTCTAAGGACAACTGTTTTTAAAAAGGGTCAAAGCTCCAGAAACACTGCTTGACCTTATATTCTTCGCTATGCACCCTGGAATGGGGGGAATTTTTGTCAGAAACCTCTGCTCTGTTTTGACAACCCCAGGAACTGGGGTTTGGACCCCTCAGTCCCCCACTATTGTTATTATGCTCACAAAGCCTCAGACCACACCAACAGCCTTCATTTATATGCTTCTAGAAAGTATACCTACACTTCTGTGTACTGATGTCCAGTGTTGAGCCTCCATACAATAGATTTTAGCCTGACTCAAGCCTATTGTTTACTAAGGCAGTTATGGGAAATGTCACACTAGCCTGCAAAGTCTCAAAGAGGCCATCTCAACAAAGTGCACATGAGAGGTTAAGAAATAAGTCTTCTGTTCTTGACTTAATGCAACCAAATGAGAAAACAAAGGAGAAGTAGAGACAGTTATCAGCAGTGCACTCCAACACATGTACAGCTACTTGGTTGAATGGGTTTGCAAAACCTTGCTGTGGAACAATGCTTTATACAAATACCCTGCAAAGAGAATTCTAAATAGCTATCTCATTAGTGCAGTAATATGGGATGGCTGGCTGAATACTGCAGAGCCGTTAATGTGAGCGGAGAGATTCAACTTGAGACAGAGTGAAACTTAATTAGCACATCCACATTCTGTCCTGCTACCTATATCCTTCATCTTAAATATAAAATACATCCAGACTACTTTTCCACATCTGGATCAGTCTTAAGTACTTAGACTGTTTTGGAACAGTCTGGTGTACGGTTACGACAGATAATCATTCAGTTTGAGGCAATTAAAACTAGGCAAAAAGCTTTGTGGTTTAATGCAGCATCAAAATGAATACCTAAACAATTCAAAATCGCTTTTAATACCAGTCAGTGTATTAAACCCAAACAGTCTGACAACAGAGGGTCGAAGCAGCAACAGTGGACTGAGCTCACAAATGAGCCAAACACTGGAAGCAGTGTAATTTGATGAACAGTAATGGGGCTAACATCACTGCAAGCTACTGTGGTATCTCTCTAGGGTGGTCATTAGCCAACTGTCTATAGGCTAGGTGGGAAATTCAATCTAACCAAATTAAAGTGAAGTTTCTCAGGGACAACAACTCAGCTACTTCAAATGGGCACGTACAGAGGTTAGCCACATGAACCAGTACTACAGTCTGAATTCAGACACACATTCACCACTTAGGAAAACAGCACATGCATGAACATTTGATTATTAATGTGTTGTGTGTTTTACTTTTGTCTAATAGGAAAACAGCGCAGCCTTTTTCCTTTGAAAAAAAAAAAAAGTATCCAGCTTCCTGACTGTTGACACAAGCCAACATTTTAATCTCATCTATTTAAAGGACGGGCATTATTGCAACGATATTCGAGTCTGGATATTTTCAGACAAAAGGCCTGTTTTCTTAACATGCTTTGCATTATATCGTGTTTGCAGCATTAAAAAAAAGTTTTAATGAAATACAAATGTTTACTAATACTAGTGATCTTAATTATGTTAAGCACATGACAGTCATCAGGAACAATGTGACTTCCAATCTTTAGTATATAGAGTCTGATTTAATCTTCCAAATTAGTGTGTCGTTTGTCTTAAAAAGCGTCTGTTTTTACAGATAAAGACCAGCTGGAAACATCTGCTTTACCTTGCTGCACTGTTTAATAAGGAATTGCTCTCTTTACCAGAGATCACCAAAAACAAAACAAGTAGTTACAACCCTGAGGTCACAAAAGAGCTCTTTTTTTGGTTATAATTTTCCTCCATTTAAAAAAAAAAAAAAAAAAGAAGTCGTCTGACTGGAGCTTTCATGGAGGCCTTCTCAGTACTTTGAGATGGCATGTCCTGAATTTATTACGGAAAATGATGCATTATTCATAACAACTGTGTTTACATCAATGAATATTCATGATGGAACTACAAGGCTGGAATGAGGGTGGAACTGTAAAACTGATTAAATGAGAAAAGTAGACTGAGTGTGAGGAAGACAGAATTACTTCTCGTATGTTCTTAAGTGCCCAAGTTTAATATGCAAGATTTTTTTTTTTTATTTAAATGCAATCGAAGCCAATTCCAGACAGTCAAAATGCTAACAGACACATTAGAATGTAACACTTCGAGCATTATTTTGAATATTAAACCATTTATAGCCTTTCTTCTCAAACAATCTATATCTTTTAGATTCATAACTGTCTTGCAATATAGAAGGAAACTGCCTGTAATGCCTGTCTGTGCATAAAGTTGCTAACAATGTGGGCAAAGTTTGAAATGAGTGTATCTACATCGGAAAGAATTCAATCTTATTCAAGAATCCTTAACAAAAAAAGCAAACCTAAACCTTGTTTTAACTTGCTAAGGGACAATACGTTCCTCTGTAATTATAAGATAATGAGCCAGTTAGACCACTAA